TTTCTTCATCGCAATTTGTACTTATTTGCTGCTTCATCCTCATTCTACTTACCGTAAGGTCGAAGCCATGCTGCAGCTGCAAAAAGAAAAACAAAATCAATATATTTAACCGGCTATAGGTTTTTTTTCTTATTCACAGTTTAACATTCTAATACCCAGATGCTACTATTATTAGTCCGTCCGTTAAAGAGATCATGATACCGGAGAATTATTCTCCCATACATAGCCTACTTCAATAATATTTTTTTAATTAAAAAATCTTTTTAAAGACGACGGCGCTTTTAAAGGAAAACGTGTGATTGGTTAAACGGCATTGCGTATTAGTACCGATCATGATAGCATCTGGTTTCTTCGCCTGACGTTTTACCACGAGTTAGTTGATAAAAGATAAATTGAAAGGTCTGGAGTTGCCAAGAGCTGCGAGGTCAGATAAAACAAGTACCATGAGTTATGAAGATATTAATTTATTTCAAAAAATAAAAAGTATTAAAAACGTGAAATATGATTTGATGAACGGTCTCCTCCATTTTCAGCTAGATTTAAGCTAGAGTTTGTAAGCTGCATGCAGAAGCTTCCAATTTATACTAGAATTGGGCGTGCACAACAAGCAGACTTTGTAACGAAAAAAAATTACGACAGCTCAGTTTTTTATTTCTGTTGTTTTGGTGTTCTATCTTTTTTTATTCCATGTCCTTTTGAGGTTTTATTGGTCTTCTATTATATGGCTGTGCCTCACAAGGACTGGGAACTACCGAATTCACGAATTTGATTGGCTGGAACCGTTTTTGACCGCTGTCTAGACTTTCCCATCTAGACCGGTTACATTTTGCGGCGAAAAAGTTGCAAACTAAAACACAAAAATATTGACGATTTATTCTAAAAATATTTATTTAAAAATATGCCAAAAAGCCTGATGAGAAAAAACGTAAAGAAGACGAGCAAACTTTGGCAGATTTAAGTTCCGCTCATCGCTGTTCGTAAGCAAAATGTCAGTATTAGTCTTAATATGTCAATCTTTCGTTAGATTTTCACAGTGCAAATTCGTAAGTTTATCACCCGTAACTCTATCTCAATACATCTTTTTGTACTCCTTTGGGTTCCTTTGAAATGATTTTTCCTACGCTATTAAGGAAAACACCTTCTGCCCAGCGCACAGTTATCGTCGAGCTTAGCCGCTTCGACTGCTATAGTGGAATGCCGATTTTTCGAACCTCCAATGGAAAAGAAAACTGCTTTGAAAAAATAGGGTTGTTCGAGAAATCGAGGGAAAAACTACAATGTTCGACTGAGGCAGGGGGGGGGGGGGGGGGGGGTAGGGAATGAGTTTTGGGCCGAGTTAACAGGAGGTTCGAAAAATAGAAGTTTCGAGAAATCGGGATTCCATCGCAGTTAAATTATAGTAAAACCTATCTAGGTGGAAGTGTACACATGGCCATTAGAAATTTGAAACACAAACTATTTTCCAGTTGTTACAAGAGATTTGCGTTAGGACTTACCAGAATACCAAACGCCTTTTTTCGGCCATCGTGGAATCACTTGTCTGAAGAATGCAGTTACCGTTTCTCCTCCCTTAATAACCTTGGTCTGATACACAAACAACACAAATAGTCTAAAGTGACTTGTGTTAGGCATATGGGCAAGGCAACATTAATGACAAGCTTTGGTTTAAGGGCAGGGAGGTGGGGTGGCCTCATGGTTAGTGCGCTCGTCTCCGGATTGAGCGGTCCGGGTTCCAACCCTGGCCGGGGACATTGCGTCTTGTTCTTAGGCAAGTCACTTTACTCTCACAGTGCCTCTCCTCACCCAGATGTATAAATGAGTACCGGCGAACTTAATGCTGGGGGAAACCCTGCGATGGGCTAGCATCCCATCCAAGGGGGAGTAGAAATTCTCTTAGTCGCTTCATGGTCCAGAAACCGGGAAAAGTTCCGGCCTGATGGGCCACTTGGGTCGTATGCAGACTTTACCTTTATCTTTTGGTTGAAGGCTTCCCATTATTTATGTTACTTATGCTGGAAATACCAGGTCTAAAACTGCGCAACTTTATGTAAAACTTTTGCAGAAAATATTATTGCTGTACCTCGTTTAGGTACCAGCAGGAAGCATTGTCTCGGGTCCTGCTTGCTTTTATGTCAATCCTCTTCACAGTGCCCACATCAAGATCATAGAACTCTGATGCAATCACGTGTAGGTTGCTTAAAAAATAACACAATTGACGATCGATCTCAAATAAGTCATGGCTATTCTAAAATTTAAACTAAAAAATTATTCTGTCTGCACGAAGTTCAGGGAACTTCCACATATCTCATTTGAAGGCATTCTTTGTTGAACAGGTCCAAATTATACAGAGCTGAAACACGGTAACCATTTTTGGGTCTGAGATAGGGAATACAAAATCACATGCTTTGGTTTGACTAAAGGTAAGGGTTTCAACAAACGCACTGCACACCCCCACCTAAGAATTGAGGAGTTCCACCCGGTTTTGTCTGTACGTGGAAAAATTAGTCCTCTCCGGAGAGATAAGCGGTGGCTAAATAGTGATCTGAGGGAAAGGCTGGTAGCAGCGAGTGTCCACTTACTCTTATCTGGAATTTGGTCTCAGCCAAAAGTTGTAAACATTTTACCGCCCGGCATTCCGTGAGAACTAGCTAACCCATAGAAAATTGACAGGGGTGAGTATTCGAAATACCTGAAATAGCTGTGTTCACACTAGGCCGAAACATGATTAGTCTGATCGCAAATGAAACATGTTTCGTTGTGAAAAGTGTTCACATCAGGCAGTGCATTGCGCGAATCATGATTGAAACATGATTATTCTGAGCATGATTAAAACAACTTCGCGAGCTAGTTTCAATCATAATCAAACCAAACACGTTCAAACTTGCGGATGGATGCGGAGAGGAGGCGAGTGACCCAAAGAACCAAAACCGGGGCTATTATGAGGCCAAATGTCTAGTTGAAATATGGACCGATGAAGAAATACAACGGCAATTATCGGCGATGGGTAGAAAGCAGAATATTTGGGAGAACATTGTGGCAAAACTTAATGAAGTGTAAAAAATTTATGCGAGTACTATGAAACAGCATAAATTATACAGCCATGCATGAAACGTGCTTGAAACCGACATCTGATGTGAACAATGTATTAACACTAATCATGTTTCCGCTTTAATGTGAACACAGCTTAATCGAACTCTCGTACGGAATCATGTTTTATGAGGCCATCCCTAAAGTGTATCAATTCTTTACTGCAAGTCAATGCAAGCAATTTTTTTTTTTACAATTTTATACCCTTAACGTTGCTATAATGATTTTAGCACTAGTCTATAGATAAACAAGAAAATTACTAAGTGACTGAAAGCCACGAATATTACCCACGAAAAGGTATGGCAATATCCCCAGACCTTAAACTTGGCTGGACAAAAAAAGAACATATCATACTTTTCTGTGTCTTGTGTTGTCTCGTGCAAAACATGTTCTGTAGTTTCTGCGTTCCCTTGTCCTTCAATCCTTACGGTCAGTATGTTGTAACTCCACGCAAGTGCATCTGGGGTATAAACTTTGACGGTGTACTCAACTATTGGAATAAACAAGGTACGTATGTTTTATCAACGTATCTTTTATCTTGATATAAACAACTTGTTACTAGTCTTGCCCTCTCATTAATTATCCTTTTAAATTTTTGGCTTCAAAATACGGTTCTACGGTGTTACGTTTTATTTACTTTGGAAAAAAATTCGTTCAGAAGATCTCGGTTTGGTAAAGGTGATATATGAACAAAGCGGGCATAGCGGTTTAAGAGGGAACGGGGGACGGGAGGGGAACAGGGAGCCGAGTAATCTCGTATAATAAGTATATAGTGTAGGTATGAATATATTTAATACTTTGTTTTAATCTTAAATTGTGCATAGCTTTGCAGCGAACGAAATGGCTGATGGCCAGCAAAGGCAAATAGGAAAGACCACGAGGCTGTATTTACCGAACACTTGTTGAATCATTCCATTTGTTTTCATAAAAAAATATATACAAGCGTAGATGCTATTCTTTAGAAACTTCCAGGAACTGCATAATGACACATTGGGCCAACTAAGAAAAACTGGGAGGCACATTCCCAAGGGGTTCCCCCATCTTGCTCCCACTCCCCCCTTCCGCCCCTCGTACTGGAAAAGAGATTACTCAAGAGGACCGTTACAATTTGCATGTCCACTCCGTAACGAGTGATAGAAAGATACAGAGTAATAGGGTTCCTTCTCAATTAAGATAGATTCTTACCATATTAGCAAGCCAACCATTTTACGTTAATTGCTAGGAGATCTCCGATCTAGCGGCTGGTAATGGAGCCTATCNTTAAATAACATTCTTACCAAGGCAGCCAACCAATCGTTTCACGCGAAATGCCAGGAGATCCGCGATGTTGTTGTAACTGGTGACCCTCGCCGCATTTGTATCTATGACGTTATCTGGCTCAGAGACGATGCCTTTCAGCTGTTGTATTCGTGATGCTTTCTCAGCGTTGTGAATAAGGACACCAATCATATTGATGCTGTTGTCTTCTTTCAACGACCTTGCTGTTTGCTCGAGTGTGGAGGTGTCCATAATGTCACCATTCTCATTCTGTGCGTTCCCGTCTGAGAATATGACTAGAATCTTGAACATTGCGGACGATTTATTAACACTGACATTTTGAACAAAAGTCTTTGGAATTTAAGACCTGCTGTCTTGCAGTGAGTTTCTGGTTTTGTATTTATATAACTGAGGCCAGGGACCCGTTTCTCCAAAGGCCCGGAAACTTTTCGGGCCCGCAAAGCCATTTTTAGTTTATCGGTATTTAAAGACAGAGAGTTGTATACGCCTGAAACTTCTTGTGTGACGAGAACCTCTGTTCATAGTAAGAATTTGTGCATAAAACAGCTCTGTAGTCATAAGGTTCGAGATTTTGCTACGGCTTTTCGGGTGGAAAAACTTTTTGGGACCTTCGAGAAACGGGCCCTTGGTTTTTATTTTCCCCAAATTTTCTATCTTCTTGATATCAATTCTGATAAAAGTCAGAGATAACGCAGATAACCTGAATTTGTTGATCACACAGTCAGACCAAAACAGAAAATAGCCAAAAGTAAAAACTCACCTTTGCCGTATCGTCTTTTCTGTCGTCAGGACGCTTTTCAAACTGTTTCAAAACCATTTTACTCAAGGCAAGGTTTAACAGGTTAAGGCCGCTTCCTCCGTGTTGGTATTCGTTGTCCATGTAATTTACTGTTGCATCTGCGTTTCCAAAACAACTCATTCGCCGCGACGTAGCGTACTTTGCCACAGCAAACTTGAAGTCAGATGACACACTGCGTAGTTTAGGCATTATTTTTTTCAATACGGTTTTAATGTTTCCAACTGTCTTTGAGGAAGTACCTTGACTGTCTTGAATCAGAAAAATCACATCCGTCTTGTCCATGCAAAAGTAAAC